ACACATTTGATTATCAATTTAAATAGACGGAAACCTTTTAAACCGGAAATTATTCAGTGTCAGAAAAAAATATATAATATATTGATAAAATATTTTTAAATTAAAATAAATTAAGTTAATAGTTTTGTTGCTTTAAGAATAAATATAAGTAAAATGTCTACATAAATTTTCGTGATTGTCAGTGCACAAATAAGGTATAATTCGCAAATAATTGGAATGTATTATCAAGTGAAGTGAACTGCAAATGAACTTAATAATATTATACGTAAATACATCCAATTGCGATTGTTTGAGATTATATTTTATTGAAGATTTAATGATTTTATTTGCCCCCAACAGTATCAATATCTGTAAAGTATTTTTCCCGTAAACATTTATATCTGACTTGAAAATGAGAAATTAGTGTATTGCTTCGGGGGCTATTACTACTGTCTACGTCCTAACATCCCGTTATTCGTACTCGCAACTGTACCGGATATGAAGAGCGTGAAATGATTATAGATCTGTCGCTTTGGGCCTGCCAAATTACAGGCCTCAGGGATGAGGCGTATATGTTAAGAAACGTAATGCGTTCGCGAATGAATGCGAGCGGATACGCACTTGTGTATACATGTGTGGTAAATAAGATCAGACGGAAACGGTAATGCGTGAATAAGAGCACGGGATTGTTTTGCTTCAGAACTGATTGGGGCCTACACGCAAAAGATATTTTATTCGTATGAATTAATGAGAGTAATGAGACGCTTGATTGCGTGTTCACGCGATTACTTCGGTGGACATACATTAGGAAATAAAATAGTTCTAAGCACCTAACTAGAATTAATATCTATAATAGGAAACAAAATGATTCTAAAAACCTAATTAAAATTAATGTATTAGAAAACAAGTTGATATAATTAATTTATAATCAAATATTTTCTTTACTTTATTCCACGTATATTATTATATACTCTATTCACTTTGTTTTATCGTTACTGCAAACTGAACAATCTACAATTCGATAAAGCTAAAGTACTATAGCGGGTCTATATATAGTCTACGCCCTCGCTGATTCCTTTTCGCTCTCTCACCGCTATTAACATGCGTTTGCTATTGTCGACTAATGTATAGGTGAATGGGGAACCGGCACGCTACGGAGGGAACTTCCGCAGCTCCAATTCTACGGTGCAGATCACCGTTTCATCGCGTAATAGTAACGGAAGACGAAGAAGACGATATGGCGAAAAGAGAGACGCGTAACCGACGACGACTTCCGCGTAAGAAGTTATTAATTGCGGCCCTCGTTAACGGAATCGCGATTGTACGAACGTGTGCGAAAAGAATGAAAGTCGAACAACCACGCGAGTTGCGTCACTGCCCGCAATCCGCAGTGACGTGTGAGAACCACTTTTAGTAAACCGCTATCCGAAAATCAACCGCGATCGACACGCAACAATAGCTTGCGGAAAACACAAATGCGACAATCTGTTGTTTCAGATCGTTAGTTTCTCAGAACTGTATTTAAATTACGCAGGTGACGATAATTTTTCTGCGTAATGATTACGAAACCAGTTCACTAATACACAAGACTTTCGTAACGGTTTTGTTTGCTCATGCGATAAATTTGCTCTTTATTACATCCACATACTACAATAATTTTAGATTTTTATGAATGAATAACAGAGTCTGTTCTCTCGATTAAAGCATCGATCTCTCTTTGTTCAGGTACATTATACCGTTTGTTTCAATAAGATCTTTTTTATAATTACGAAATATATGTAAGATTCAAAATTTACAATTGTACCAGTGATAAAAATAGTCTGAGTTTCAACCATAATTTCTGTTAACGATGACAATAATTTAGCAATGTTACGCACGACATTAATCCGAGTACCGGAAAAGTAGCGAACCGTTGGGACGATAAGTATTCTCAAGCACCGTGACGATTGTGTACTCTCATTGGAATGTAGAAGGGTTCTTAACCATTAATTAAATTAACGCTCGAGTAAGCAAGAGATACGAGAAGGAAGCGAAATGCAGAATGGTTCTCGTCCTTCTCTTTCAATCCTCGTTCAATTGGCAAGACGGAAGAATAGACGAATAAACGACGAGCAGTCATGCAAACGACACAAGAAGAATCAATAGGGACCTTTTAATCTCTGTCTAATCGATTGATTATCTGACTCATCAATTGGTGTTCACTCTTAAGTATGTATATAAATTGTTAAATCCATAAATACTTACATCTGTATGTGCTAATACTAATAAGTTACAGACGTATACATGTGTAAATTTGCGTAGGTAGATTTGCATATGTTGCTAAATTCTATAAATCTATAAATTGCTTCGTCTAAATTTATTCATCAAGCTATAAAATTCTCTTTCTCTAACGTTACATTAAACAATCTAAAATTAAATTAATCATATACATGTAAACTCTCCTTCTCTCTTTGTTTCTTCCTTTTATCAAGAAAACAAACAGATAAAATTATGTACCGAATACGATTTTCATCGATAAAGAGCGTAAAAAAACGCGTTAAGATACAGCAAACCCTGGAATTTACCGGAAGTTACACGAAGCGCAGATTATTATCGATGAGATAAACGACGACGATCGGTGCCGGTGGAGTGAAAGTCGACCTGTATCTCCACCTTTGATTCCGTAAATCTACCGTTCATTATCATATTTCCCTCAGCCAGTCATATTCTTCTTGAATAAAATTACCAACGAGATCATAAAACAGATAACTGAACGTTCAGCTCGCGAAGTATGATTCTTTTTTTAGATTTTCTATGCCTATCATGTGTTAATATTATAATATATGTATTAATATATCTATTCGCTGAATGACCAGATGTGAGTATATACAGACGTATTTTTCTTTTTTCTATTTTTTTAGTATTTGCTTGTCGCTCGCTGTCTTGCGAGGCTCTTCTTTTCCAGTTTTTCGATTATGTAATTTGTTTTTATTACTGTAAACTTTTCGACCACCTCCCTTCTTTTTCTCTCTTTGAAAACATTCATTAATGTTTCTTTCGAAATTCACGATTCTGGAGTCTTCTGATGCTATCTGTTACAACATGACAACGCTTTATCTTTTTTAATCTGAGGTTATTGATCGTCTCTGGTTGACTCTTAACAAACCCACTATTATCTTATCGTGAATGACATCATACGGATCATCAATTTTGAAGTGCATTTCATACTTTTGTGGAGCACGAATACCTATATGACCTTCTAGATCTTATCATATTCTGTCAATCGTTAATTCTGTAAATATGTCTCATTTATCGCGTTGACGTTTATATTATACTTATTGTTCGCAATACGTGACATACAACACGTCAACATGATACACATTAACATAATACCCATTTTAGTTATTAAAACTTCTATTTATGAACATGAGTCATGATTGTTGTAAATGTAAACACAAAATAATAAAAATTTGTTACATGTATAATTATATTTAAAAAATATGTATATATACGTACATTAATTTAAAAATATTTCTTGTACTTGCTCAATAGATACATATATATTATATATACTCGATTATACATAAATTGTAAATCCTTTCTTTATGAATTTTCAAATATATAAAAATAGTAAAACTATGCTTAAAACTTTTGCCCATTTCAGTAAATGATAATATTGTTTTTAACTTTCACTTCGTGAGTACAATTATCAAGTAATCGAGTGAATTGATTAATTGTCAGAATGATATATTCTTATCTGTATGATGTAATGGGAATAAAAATTAAAATGATTTCTAATTTAACATGATAAAAGATAAAAGTAAATTAAAATAAATAAAAATAAATAAAATTAAAGATAAAAGTAAAAAAGTGAACATTACAGAAATAAAATCAAGACTAGGATGATATTATATAGTAACAAAAATCAGTAAAAATTGTTAATAATAGATATTAACATATTTATGTTATCCAACAATATATTTTAATAAATGAACTTCTACGTATTTTATTAATATACTTCACGTGTTACGTAATCTGCGAACGACTAGTTAACACATACTTCGATGCAATGTACCTACGTGAATTTCATTAGGTCTATATATATCTATTACAAACTACACATTCTACATAACTTATGATTTCAATTTCACTGATGAAGCCAACGATTAAATAATTATATTAACAATAACTAATAAGAATAATTATTTGAGATATTTAATTAAAACCTGTGACGCAGATTTAATAAATTTTTCAGTGATATACTTGTTACATACTTAAGTCATGATGACTCTATATACTTCATATCAACAAACGGAAATGAGAACTGATACAACAAACAAACATAAAAATAAGAAATATAAGATAATATAAAATAACGAAGTCTTATATCTATACATGATATAATAATGTGACTTTGCAAAATATAAGATTTTCTAAAATTTTATTCTCATATAAACCGAATAATTTTTCATTATTTATTAAACTAAAACAAAATATTTTCAATAGAATTGATGTATCCTTTCCTGAAATTGATGTTCAATATATACAATATAATAATTTGTAAAATAAAACCGAAGCAACATACTTTTATACATTATTTATTTTTCAACTTATTCAACCATTAATAATTGCTAATTTCAGTAAAAAATACTTTCAAACATCATTTCATATAGTTTTCAAAAATAATTCTATAACAAAACAGGATTAAATACAAAATTTATATAACTACATACATCAGTCTTTAAATTGCACGTATATGACAGCATACACAACAAAGATTCACTGATTTGCCTAGTCCAAAGTACCAACGCCGATTGATCTTACAAAAGATGTGTTAAGGGAAACGATATTTGCGTCATTGGGAAACGATAGTGCTATATGCGTCATTCTCTCTTTATCGTCCATTAGACATAAAACAAGGCCAGAGTAACACTGATAGTCATCCCGAACACACACACGATGCTTGAAAGCATTAACTTCACAACGATTATTAGTATATTACGAGATAGAAGCTGCTGTGACGAGCAGTTGTACGCAGCGATTCATGTCAGCAGTATCGTTAGCGTTCCATGTATAGTCAGTCACACTTTATCAAACATTTACAAAAAGATTGTAGGAACATTTTCTAATGACGTCTGTTTGTGCCATGGAATATTGGTCGATACTATTATCGATAGTGATCGGTGTAATCAGTATTCATTACCTTTTTAAAAATTTTAATTTCTTTAAAAGAAATGGTATTATACACGTGCCGCCAATTCCATTATTTGGATCCGCGATGCCAGTTCTATTTCGTCGAATGTCATTCGTCGATTTCATTTTGAAGATATACAATTTCAATCCAAACGCAAAATATTATGGATTGTACTTCACGACAAATCCAGTCTTCCTGCTTCGCGATCTGGAACTCATTAAAACTGTCCTTGTTAAAAATTTCGAGGCATTTCCAGATCGTCGTGGTTTCGCCGACATAAACGATACATTATTTAAGAAAAATTTGTTTTCTCTTCGCGGAGAAAAATGGCGGAACGTGAGAAATCTGTTGAGTCCCTCTTTTACTTCCAGCAAGATGAAAATAATGTTTACATTGATGTCCGAATGTGCTGTGGATTTTGTAAAATTTCTATCGACATCACAAGCGGATAAAGGCGCTGTAAACATGAAAGATATCTGCTCTAAGTACACAAACGATGTCATCGCTACATGTGCATTTGGAATCAAAATCAACTCTATGAAGGATCCAACGAATAAATTCTATATTTACGGCAAGGAAGCGAGTAACTTCAGAGGAATCGTTCGCAGTTTAAAGTTCTTTTTTATTGTAATGTTTCCGAGACTTGGGCGAATTCTCAATATAAAATTTATGGACGATTATCTGTCGAATTTCTTCAAGGACATTATAAAAACTACAATCATGACTCGTGATGCGGAACACATTACACGTACGGATATGCTACAGTTAATGATGGATATCAGAGGCAAAGAAGATCGTAGAGAACTAGACATCGACGACATGACTGCGCAAGCGTTCATCTTTTTCCTCGGCGGTTTCGAGACCAGCTCAACCGCAATGTGCTTCGCAGCTCACGAAATTGCAGCTAACCCAGAAATTCAGACGAAATTACAACAAGAGATCGACAAGGTTTTAGAGGAGTCGAACGGAGAAGTGTCTTACGAAGTAATTAATCGACTCGAATATTTAGATGCGGTGATAAGTGAGGCTCTTAGATTATATCCACCAGCGACAGTCTTAGAAAGGGTGTGCGAAAAAACTTTTGAGTTACCATCCACATTGCCAGACGAGAAACCTTTTATTGTAAAGAAAGGTATGCTTGTCTGGATTCCTGTTCTTGCAATCCATCACGATGAAAAGTATTACGACAATCCGAAGAAATTTGATCCAGAAAGATTTTTAAACAACAAGATGAACAATTCTTCGAATTATATGCCATTCGGATTAGGACCAAGAATGTGCATAGCTAACAGGTTTGCCATGCTGGAAGTCAAAGTCTTATTATTTCACTTATTAGCGCGATGTGAACTGAAACCTTCAGCAAAAACTACGTCCCCAATAAAATTTTGCAAAGATTTCATAATAATGCCGGAGAACGGATTCTGGTTGAATATTCAGCGTAGAAAAGATATGCATCCTGTACTGGAGCTTAAAAGAATGGATAATTAAGCCTCAGAAAACATTTCAAACGGTAATAATGTAGTTATTATAAAAAAAAACAATTATCAGTTCTTGAAATGTTCTTTGGAGTGCTTTAAAGTTCATTTTCATTATCATAATTAAATTGACGATTATTGTAATGTGTAATGTTATTTCCAGTTTCAATTCATGTTTGTGATTTAAGTTCGACAAACCGCATCGGCGTGTACTTTATAGAACTGAATAATGTATTTTCAAATTTTGATCTGTGATTTATAAATATTAACTTTATCAAGAAAAACTGTGTTATTTACAAATATGAGTATTGTTAAACGAAATTATCGAGATCTATGTCATTTGAAAAGAGGATTCTTTGTATCATTTGATTTATTCGTATAGGTCTAAATAAAATTTATTAAAAAAATTATAATTTAATAAAAATTATTTTTGTAATAGAAATTGCACATGCACCTTCATGAACGCGCACATATTATAGCATTGTATGGAATAATAATGAAATCAACATTATATATTAAAATTACTTACTGCGAATGTTAATAATTAGTTAATAAGTTAACAGTTTCGTAACTTCAAGAATAAATCCAATATAAATAAAACGCTTATAGCTATATGAACCTCCGCAGTTGTTAGTGCATAAATTATATATTCATTTATGACGCGATAAAACATAGTTCGCCAATATTGTACTTACGAAACGAAGTTAACTGTAGGCCGATATAGGCATTTTACTTTATTGAATTAATAATTAGTATTACTGAAATATTGTTGAAATATAATTTAACAAAAATAAAATCAGAACAAACTGTAGCAATTTCTATTTAGGTACATGATCGAATTTGTTTTCTCCGTGCAATACATTGATATAGATTTTTGTATAAATAAATAGAAGAAAACGTGATGTGGAATGCGTGTAAGCTACAGGAAATTTATTATTAATACTTATTAATATTTATTATTACCTTTAATAATAGCGTGACATTTTTAAAAGTATATACTCGCGTGGAGATCAATTGACCTATATTCTAATTAATTCATTTTTTACGTGTAAATCAATTTTTTATTATTACTAATAAATAATTATAAACTAAGACACGTTATCAACAGAAAATAATAATTTCTAAACATTAAAAATTATAAAAAATCCATGTTTATGTAAAAATATTTCTTTACGTCGTATTTTGATCAATAAATTCATAACTTACTCATCGAAAAGAAATTACTATATCTTAATAAATATTTCTTTAATCGCAAGTAGACACACACACGCACTTTTATTTATAGGAAGTAAATATATTTACTCAATGAAAAAAATGATAGTTAAATTGATGAAATTCTTGTTCGAACTGTACATAAGATATTTGCTCACTCACGCATATGACAGTTTTGTTTTCAACTTCAAATCTTCAGTGTGCAATGCTTATTAAGTAATCGAATAAATTGAATGATTTTCATAATAATATATTCTTATCAGTAATGTAATAGGAACGAAGGTCAAAATGATTTCTAATTTACCAAGATAGAGAGAGAGAGAGAGAGAGAGAGAGAGAGAGAATCAAAGATAAAAATAAAACATTGCAAAATGATAGAGAACTTTTCGACTTAGTTCACTCTACACACGAGTGCTTTGTCACAAATCACCGGCCATCCTGTACACACACACACACACACACACACACACACACACGCGCGCGCGCGAAAACATACAGAACATATAACAATGATTTATTCATTTACATCCATAAAAGTACCAACGCTGATTTATCTTACATAAGGAGCATTCGAAGAAACGCTAATAGCGCCGTTTGAGTCATTTCGCCTTTAATGTCTATGAGACATAAAACAAGGACGGAATAATACTAATAACGTCATCCCAAACACACCCATAATGCTTCAAAGCATTTAGTTCATAACGATTATTAGTATACTACGAAATAGGAGCTGCTGTGACGATTAGTTGTACGCAACGACTCGTATCAGCAGTATCGCTAGTGTCCTATGTATAGTCATTCACATTTTATCAAACGTTTACAAAAACATTGTAGGAAGATTTTCTAATAACATCTGTTTGTGCTATGGAATATTGGTCGATACTATTATCGATAGTGATCGGTGTAATCAGTATTCATTATCTTTTTAAAAATTTTAATTTCTTTAAAAGAAATGGTATTATACACGTGCCGCCAATTCCATTATTTGGATCCGCGATGCCAATTCTATTTCGTCGAATGTCATTCGTCGATTTCATTTTGAAGATATACAATTTCAATCCAAACGCAAAATATTATGGATTGTACTTCACAACAACTCCAATCTTCTTGCTTCGCGATCTGGAACTCATTAAAACTGTCCTTGTTAAAAATTTCGAGGCATTTCCAGATCGTCGTGGTTTCGCCGACACAAACGATACATTATTTAAGAAAAATTTGTTTTCTCTTCGCGGAGAAAAATGGCGGAACGTGAGAAATCTGTTGAGTCCCTCTTTTACTTCCAGCAAGATGAAAATAATGTTTACATTGATGTCCGAATGTGCTGTGGATTTTGTAAAATTTCTATCGACATCACAAGCGGATAAAGGCGATATAAACATGAAAGATGTCTGCTCTAAGTACACAAATGACGTCATCGCTACATGTGCATTTGGAATCAAAATCAACTCTATGAAGGATCCAACGAATAAATTCTATATTTACGGCAAGGAAGCGAGTAACTTCAGAGGGATCGTTCGCAGTTTAAAGTTCTTTTTTATTGGAACGTTTCCGAGACTTGGGCGAATTCTTAATTTGAAAATTATGAACGATAATGTGTCAGATTTCTTCAAAGACATTATAAATACTACAATCATGACTCGTGATGCGGAACATATTACACGTCCGGATATGCTGCAGTTAATGATGGATATCAGAGGCAAAGAAGGTCGTAGAGAATTAGACATCGATGACATGACTGCGCAAGCGTTCATATTTTTTCTCGGTGGTTTCGATACCAGTTCAACCGCAATGTGCTTTGCAGCTCACGAATCTCGGTGGTTTCGAGACCAGTTCAACCGCAATGTGCTTCGCAGCTCACGAAATTGCAGCTAACCCAGAAATTCAAACGAAATTACAACAAGAGATCGACAAGGTTTTAGAGGAGTCGAACGGAGAAGTGTCTTACGAAGTAATTAATCGGCTCGAATATTTAGACGCGGTGATAAGTGAGGCTCTTAGATTATATCCACCAGCGACAGTCTTAGAAAGGGTGTGCGAAAAAACTTTTGAGTTACCATCCACATTGCCAGACGAGAAACCTTTTATTGTAAAGAAAGGTATGCTTGTCTGGATTCCTGTTCTTGCAATCCATCACGATGAAAAGTATTACGACAATCCGAAGAAATTTGATCCAGAAAGATTTTTAAACAACAAGATGAACAATTCTTCGAATTATATGCCATTCGGCTTAGGACCGAGAATGTGCATAGCTAACAGGTTTGCCATGCTGGAAGTCAAAGTTTTGTTATTTCACTTATTAGCGCGATGTGAGCTGGAACCTTCAACAAAAACTACGTCCCCAATAAAATTTTGCAAAGATTTCATATTAATGCCGGAGAACGGATTCTGGTTGAATATTCAGCGTAGAAAAGATATACATCCTGTACTGGAGTCTAAAGGAATGGATAGTTAAACCTCAGAAAACATTTCAAACGGTAATAATTATCTATTATAAAAAAGTTATTATAAAAAAAAACAATTATCAGTTCTTGAAATGTTCTTTGGAGTGCTTTAAAGTTCATTTTCATTATCATAATTAAATTGACGATTATTGTAATGTGTAATGTTATTTCCAGTTTCAATTCATGTTTGTGATTTAAGTTCGACAAACCGCATCGGCGTGTACTTTATAGAACTGAATAATGTATTTTCAAATTTTGATCTGTGATTTATAAATATTAACTTTATCAAGAAAAACTGTGTTATTTACAAATATGAGTATTGTTAAACGAAATTATCGAGATCTATGTCATTTGAAAAGAGGATTCTTTGTATCATTTGATTTATTCGTATAGGTCTAAATAAAATTTATTAAAAAAATTATAATTTAATAAAAATTATTTTTGTAATAGAAATTGCACATGATATTCGTATAGGTCTAAATACAATTTATTAAAAAAATTATATTTTAATAAAAATTATTTTTGTAATCGAAATTGCACATGCACCTTCATGAACGTGCACATATTATAGCATTGTATGGAATAATAATGAAATCAACATTATATATTAAAATTACTTATTGCGAATGTTAATAATTAGTTAATAAGTTAACAGTTTCGTAACTTCAAGAATAAATCCAATATAAATAAAACGCTTATAGCTATATGAACCTCCGCAGTTGTTAGTGCATAAATTATATATTCATTTATGACGCGATAAAACATAGTTCGCCAATATTGTACTTACGAAACGAAGTTAACTGTAGGCCGATATAGGCATTTTACTTTATTGAATTAATAATTAGTATTACTGAAATATTGTTGAAATATAATTTAACAAAAATAAAATCAGAACAAACTGTAGCAATTTCTATTTAGGTACATGATCGAATTTGTTTTCTCCGTGCAATACATTGATATAGATTTTTGTATAAATAAATAGAAGAAAACGTGATGTGGAATGCGTGTAAGCTACAGGAAATTTATTATTAATACTTATTAATATTTATTATTACCTTTAATAATAGCGTGACATTTTTAAAAGTATATACTCGCGTGGAGATCAATTGACCTATATTCTAATTAATTCATTTTTTACGTGTAAATCAATTTTTTATTATTACTAATAAATAATTATAAACTAAGACACGTTATCAACAGAAAATAATAATTTTTAAGAGTTAAAAATTATAAGAAACCCATGTTTATGTAAAAATATTTCTTTACGTCATATTTTGGTCAGTAAATTCATAACTTACACACTGAAAAGAAATTACTATATCTTAATAAATAGTCTAAAGGCTTAGGACGCTCGCACGGAATGCAAGAGATCCGGGTTCGACTCCCGGCCGAGGCATTATTTTTCGCAATAAGTTTTATTACAGTTTTTAAGTTGGGGAATTTGGGGGGATTATTAATATTTTCAGATTTGATTGCGTTGAAAGTCCGACAACCATATCGGCACGCAATTATCATTTCTGAAATTAATTCATTTAAATGAATTTACAATAGTTCAACATCTTAACGTTCTGACCGTTATGGCGCTTCTTAATTTAAAATTATTATGTTTAACATTAGCGGTCTTTCAATCTTATGATTCTTAATAAATAGTTTTTTAATTACAAGCAGACATTTATTTACAGTAAATATATATATTTACTCAATGAAAAAAATGATAGTTATATTAATGATTCTTGTTCAAACTATACATAAGATATTTGCTCACTCACGCATATGACAGTATTGTTTTCAACTTCACTTCTTGAATGTTCAATGCTTATTAAGTAATCGAGTGAATTGAATGATTGTCAGAATGATATATTCTCATCAGTATGATGTAATGGGAACCATGTTCAAAATGGTTTCTAATTTATCATGATAGAATCAAAGATTGAAAAGAATTGTACAATGATAGAAAACTTTTCGACTCAGTTTGGTTCACTCTACACACAAGTGCTTTGTCACAACTTACTAGACACCCTGTATATATATATATATATATATAGGGTAGAGTAGGGCTATTTGAGTGTAGGGGCAAGTTGATCAAATGCAAATATTTAAATAACCAAAATATATGTAGATACGTCTATGCTTGCGTAATGTAGCACAAAGACAGAGATTATCTTAATACAATAATCTGTATCCGGTCAAATGCCAAATACGTGCGTTTTTTTGTTTTTGCATATCAAAAATAAAATTATTAGGTGAGTATTCTTTTTGGTCTACATGGTAATTAAAGCGATTGATAATAATCAAATGTATTTTTTAGATATAAGTTATTATCGTGTTTTTTAACTTTAATGTTTAAGTTGCTATTTTATTTACGGTTTTTCAGTTATATAAAAGTATTTCAGTTAACATCGATATGGGGCTTGTTGAGCCAGTACCTCATAACTAACCTTATAAACTCAGCTGCTTAAGTGAAATCTGTCTTTATTAATGCTTTTTATTTTATGTCAACGATTAAACATATATTTTACGTTTAATTATTATTATAAAGAGTAAAGATTTTAGTTTTTCTAATTTTGTTAATTAAAGCATTTAAAAAGAAAGAATATTACAAATTATTATACTTAAGATGCAAATAATAAAAATTTGATTAATATACACATAATCCTTTCATGTTTTTAATAATATATAAACTCATTAAACGATTATCTTCATGGCTTAACTTATCCTTCGAGGATGCTCAACATGTCCTATAGATGGGGCATATTGATCCACTTTGAATCCTTGTAATTAACGTAATTTTTTTCTTATTTACGAGATATATCAAGAATTTATAAGTACTTAATTATTGAGCCAGATGAACATGCAACATTTTAAAGCATTTACTATTAGTCTATCATGATTGTGTAAAGATTTATAATAATTTAAAGAAAAAGTGTCATAACTAGCCCCGCTCTAGCCTACATATATATATGTATGTGTGTTACATACGTGAAAACATACAGCATACATAACAATGATTTATTGATTTGCATCGATCAAAGTATCAATGCTGATTGATCTTACATAAGGTGCATTCGGGGAAACGCTAGTAGCACTGTTTGTCATTCTACCTTTATCGTCCATTAGACGTAAAACAAGGACAGAGTAACACAAATAGCGTGAATTACGTCATCCTCAACCCATCCATAATATAGCTTGAAAGCATTTATTTCACAACGATTACCAGTATATTACGAGGTGGGAACAGCTGGACCGAGCAGTTCTACGCAACGACTCGTATCAGCAGTATCGCTAGTGCTCTATCTATAGTGAGTCACATTTTATCAGACGTTTACGAAGTTGTTGGAAAATTTTCAAATAATATCTGTTAATGCCATGGAATATTGGTCGATATTATTATCGATAGTGATCGGTGTGATAAGCATTCATTATATTTTCAAAAATTTTAATTTCTTTAAAAGAAATGGTATTATACATTTACCGCCTCTTCCATTATTTGGATCCACAATATCGATGGTATTTCGTCGAATATCATTTTTCGATTTCTTGCTGAAGATATACAACTTCAATCCAAACGCAAAGTATTTTGGACTCTACTTCACGACAACTCCAGTATTCTTGCTTCGAGATCTGGAACTCATTAAAACTGTCCTTGTTAAAAATTTCGAGGTATTTCCAGATCGTCGTGGTTTCGCCGACTTTAATAATCCGTTATTTGAGAAAAATTTATTTTCTCTTCACGGAGAAAAATGGCGGAACGTGAGGAATCTGTTGAGTCCCTCTTTTACTTCCAGCAAAATGAAAATGATGTTCACGTTGATGTCCGAGTGTGCTGTGGATTTTGCAAAATTTCTGTCGACATCACCAACAGATAAAGGCGATATAAATATGAAAGACGTCTGCTCTAGATATACAACTGATGTCATCGCTACATGTGCATTTGGAATCAAAGTCAACTCTATGAAAGATCCAACGAACAAATTCTATGTTTACGGCAAGGAGGCGAGTAACTTTAGAGGAGTCATTCGCGGTATAAAGTTCTTTTTTCTTGGAACGTTTCCAAAACTCGGGCGAATTCTTAATTTGAAAGTTATGAACGATTATGTGTCGGATTTCTTCAAGGACATTATAAGAACTACAATCGCCACTCGTGACGCCGAACACATTACACGTCCGGATATGCTACAGTTGATGATGGATATCAGAGGCAAAGAAGGTCGTAGAGAACTAGATATCGATGACATGACTGCGCAAGCGTTCATATTTTTTCTCGGTGGTTTCGAGACCAGTTCAACCGCAATGTGTTTCGCAGCTCACGAAATTGCAGCTAATCCAGAAATTCAGATGAAATTACAACAAGAGATCGACAAAGCTTTAAAGGAGTCGAACGGAGAAGTGTCTTACGAAGTTATTAATCGGCTCGAATATTTAGATGCGGTGATATGTGAGGCTCTTAGATTATATCCACCAGTCGCCGCCTTAGAAAGAATATGCGAAAAAACTTTTGAGTTACCTTCCGCATTGCCAGACCAGAAACCTTTTATCATGAAAAAAGGTATGCTTATTTGGATTCCAGTTCTTGCAATCCATCGTGATGGAAAGTATTATGATAATCCGGAGAAATTTGAACCAGAAAGATTTTTAAACAACAAGATGCACAATTCTTCGAGTTATATGCCATTCGGATTAGGACCGAGAATGTGCATAGCTAACAGATTTGCCATGTTGGAAGTCAAAGTCTTGTTGTTTTATTTATTAGCGCGATGCGAACTGAAACCATCTGTGAAAACTACGTCACCAATAAAATTCTGCAAAGATCTAATAATGATGCCGGAAGATGGATTCTGGTTAAATATACAGCCTAGAAAAAATATACATTCTATACACGAATCTACAATAATGGATAGTTAAGCCTCATAGAACATTTCAAATGGTAATGCAGTTATTACAAAAAAATTTCAGTTCAATTCTTCAAAATGTTTTGAAGTTCATTTTTATCGTTATTAAATTATTTGTAATGTGTAATATTATTTTCAGCTTCAATTCATGTTTGTGATTTAAGTCTGACAAACCACATCGGCGCGCAGTTTATAGAATTGAATAATGCATTTACAAATTTTTAACTGTGATTTGCAAATATTAACGTTATCAAGGACGAAATATGTTATTTACAAATATAAGTACTATTAACATCATTGTCCGAGAACCGTTTCGACAAAAGAAAGGATCCTTT